ATGACCAGCAGACATCAGGAGACGCACCACCTGCACTGCACAGCTTTATCCTCCCACATATTCTGCTCATTTCAGCACAGCACCAAGTGGTTGTGTTCTTTTTTTTCACGGCAGAAAAAACCAGCAGCTCCATCATGAGGGGGCCTGTAAACCCATGAATCACAGCAGTGCTTCTACATTGAGTACGTGCGTTGAAAACCAAACCAGCCCAGTACTGCTCTGTGCACCAAAACGTGCAACAGACAAGTGCAGCAAAGCATGCAGCCACAGCACCTCGCTTGGAAAGGAAGCCAGGCTGAGCCCTGCCTTTCCTTTCTTCCCCTGAATCCCAAACAACCTGCCAAGCAAGTGCTCTCCCTTAACAGAGCCAAGGTAAAAGGTATTTTTAGCCTAGAAAACTGGCACCGGAGCTTTTCAAAGCAGAAGGTCAGGTACACCAAACACCACTTTGGTCGCCTCTCTGGGGCTTGTTTCTGTCATCTCTCCTCTGTCCAACCCTTTCCAGGGCTCCCAAGGCCCTGGTGCTGTGGGAAGTGGGTGCCAGGAGGGGCTGGGGGAGGCAGGAGCCCCCTCCATCCAACGCTGGGACCGGCCACTGGAGGAGAGGGGCCTTTGCTGGGAGCTGTCTGGGAAGATTGAAAAGAGGAGGAAAATGGTTCTCCTCCTCCTGAAAGGCTCAGCAGAGGGCAGGGACACGGGGGTGTGGGTGCTGCCAGCACCCACAGAAGTTCTTCTCTGGGTTATTACTGGGGGAGGGGAAAAATAACGAAGGTGCCTTCGCCAAACGGGCAAGGGCTGCATGTAGCAGTGCTGGGACGTGGCAAAGTGAACCTGCTGGGCCAGCCCCAACTATCTGGGCAGAAAAGTGCTCCTCCCTGCCAGCAACAACTGCCTCCTGCTTCCATGGGCAGGTTCCCATCTGGGCTGCAGCTGACACAGCCGCTCTCTGCCTGCTGCCACCTCCCGTGTGCTGCCCCAGGGCTGCACCTGCAGCTGGACCAGGGCCCCATCTGCCTAGAAAAAGGCAAAGATGCTGGTTTTTTCCCCCCTGTGTTACGTCATTGTAGGCTGGCTGGGTTCTGTGGCAGCAGGAAGGGGAACACGTTAAGCCACGGTTGCGGGGCAGCCCGTGGTTGCACCTCCCTGTGCTTCCAGCAGCAGGTCCAGTGTCAGGAGTCACGTTCCCTCCTCACCTTCTCTGCTGCCTTCCAGGAGGCAGCTCAGCCTCCTGCACCGGGCTTGGGCCATTTGGGTTCAAGCACCCTGAAGTCCCAGGTTTGGCCCGAGCCCAGAGCCACCCTGTGCAAACAGGACGTGACTTTGCAGCAAGCGGAGTCAGATCCAGAACAGATGCACAGCCAAAATCTGGACCAGCACTGCCCACAGGGCACTGAAAACCCTTGGGGTACAACTGTTCAGGTGGCCTGTGCTGCCCCTGTCACCTGCCTGCCCCGGGGAGCTCAGCCCTGCTGGGGCAGCAGCCGTGGGGATGAAGCCACGGT